ATCACACGCAGTATGAATGGTGCTACCTAGTATGATCACTCAGTATGAGTCGTGCTACTATAAAATCACACACAGTATGAGTTGACCTAGTAGATACCTATGGTGTTGTTACGTGTATGACACTCAGTTTGATGCTGCTACCTAATATAATCACACACGTATAGTGTGCTACTGTATGAACACGCAATGTATGAGTGGACTACCTAAATGATACCACTATGATGGTGCTACTAGTAATCACATACATGAGTGGTTGCTACCTAGTATATCACACACAGTATGAGTCTTGCTACCTAGTATGATCACACACAGTATGAATGGTGTTCCTAGTGTGATCACTTAGTATGAATGGTGCTACCTTGAATGATCACACACAGTATGAATGGTGCTATGTAGTATGATCACACACACAGTATGAGTGGTGCTACCTAGTATGACCACACACAGTATGAGTGGTGCTACCTAGTATGATCACTCAGTATGAATGGTGATACCTAGTATGAACACACAAAGTATGAGTGGTGCTACCTAGAATGATCACTCAGTATGAATTGTGCTACATAGAATGATCACATACAATGAGTGGTGCTGCTGAGTATGATCACACACAGTATGATTCGTGCTACCTAATATGATCACAAACAGTATGAGTGAGGCTACCTAGTATGATCACTTAGTACAAATGATATGAATGGTGTGACATAGTATGATCCCACATAGTATGAGTGGTGCTAAATAGTATGAACACACACAGTGTGAATGGTACTACCTGGTATGAACACACACAGTATGAGTGGAGTTACCTAGTATGATCACACACAGTATGAGTGGTGCTACCTAGTATGATCACACACCATATTAGTGGTGCTACCTAATATGATAACGCACAGTATGAGTGGTGCTACATAGTATGATCACACAGTATGAATGGTGCTACCTAGTATGATCACACAAAGTATGAGTGATGCTGCCTAGCATGATCACACAAAGTATGAGTGGTGCTACCTAGTATGATCACCCAGCGTGAAAATTTGTCTGGACTGCCTCCATGTGAGTTGTCTACCTCTGTAAATAATTAAATTCACAAGCTTCTCTAGTCTACCTGGCCTGCCTGTAAATTACTGCAAATAATAACTTCTGTGTATAGTCAGCTTGGCCTAGCTTCTGTGTAACTCTGGGCGTGGATGCTAACTTAACCTAACTCGGTTAAACTGGTTCCTAACTGTGGCCTAGCTATGTTAATTTTAACCTAGCTATTCCACATCTGGTTCGAAGGACCACTTGTGAAAATTTGTCTGGACTGCCTCCATGTGAGTTGTCTACCCTGGCAAGCTCTGTTGACACCGAGCTCTGAGGTTGGTACCTCAGCCTCGCAAGTGGCTTATAGGACAGATTTTCATCAATGACTGATGTTGCAAGAAATCTTGCCTGCATGCACGTATGAAGGACTAACTTACTTGGTGTTGGAGAATCTATTATGGTCTTCAACCTTACTAAGCTTAGCCCCTCTGGACTTCCTCTCAGAACCACGTGCAACCGGGAGCCTTAATCCCTGCAATATTCAGTCGATATTAGTGACTTGCCTGCACCTCAGAAATTCCTATTTCCAAGGGGGTGTGAATCCCCTAGGCTACTATGCAGAAAGTGACACTAGCTTCTAGGCTGACAAGAAACGCCGGTACGTACTGGTCATGAAATGCCGGCTGCACGAAGGGCCCACACCTCAACTCACGCACAATTTTCCCCGGACACTAGTCAGAATCCTAAGAAAAAGTGGAGGTCTTGTCTTGCTGTATGGGCCTGATGGAGGAGGTCATCTACGGTAAGTCGAGGTGCCTCCACCAGATTCCCCCAGGTCTAGTATGTGAAGACACGTGGGGGCACCGCCTACTGATCATGGCACTTGCTCAGACAGTGTCAAGTCTCAGAAGAAAGGGCACTGTGGTCTCACACCCATGCCCCAGTATTCAAACTTGGGCTACCAGTTCTCCCTGGCTAACATAACTTAGTGTTTGCCTACATTATCGGCCTACTACTATCTACGTTAAGGACTTAGGTCTACATTATTATTATCTACAGTTGCCTCAATAATCCTAATATTAGTGTACTAACAGTATAAATTATCTACTTCTTCCCTGAAGGGTAAATTTATCAATTAAGAAGTACCTTCCAACCACCTTTGCCAACCAGGGTATGTGTGTGTGTGTTTTGGTTGGTTTTAAGGGCCACCCTATCCAGCCGTTCCTACACGGCGATGTTGGGATCTTTGTATGTCGTATCTGTTCTATGGAACTTTGGACCAAATAAATTTCCACATCCAATATGAGTGGTGCTACTCAGTAATTTCACTCAATGGTTGGTGCTACCTAGTATGATCATTCAGTATGAGTGGTGCTACCTAGTATGATCACTCAATATGAGTTGCTAATATGTGTTAACATCCAATGACTGTGTTAACTCCAACTATCACATCTCCATGAACCCCTTTCCACAAATGATGACAGCGGAGGGTCTGTAATTACAGTGATTTCTGGAGATAAATTTCTACTGGGCCGGCCGCCATTTCCCGCTTAGGCCTGCCGATGCTTCACATCCCAGTCAAGTGTCCACCAGTCTGTTTGGCTCTGCTTCCTGGTCAGTCTTTGTGTCCTAGTGTTTTATTTGTTTATTTGCATTACTTCCAAGGGGTTGACCCGAGTTTGCAAGTTAAGACAAGCCACCAAGCCAGTCTGTGGGGGGGAGACCAACCCTACACCATCCAGCCTGTCTTAAACCAGCCTTACCTGCTAGCTAGCTTTCCACCCCTGCTGTGCTCATTGTTACAAGTTCTCAAGCCAGTCTGTGTGAAGGGTTAAGCCAAGAAAGCCAGCCAACTAACCCAGGTGACTTAACCCAGTACTCATGCAAGCCATGTGAGTTCCAGCCTTCACCATCACTTTGTTCTTCCAGTTCAAGCTGTTCTGAGTGCTTTACCATCCCTGTAGTGTCGTGGTATTTTGTGGGTTTTTTTTTAAGCCAGCCCAGCTTAGAATATTTTTGTGCCTAGTGTGGGTGTCATGTGGGGCTTACGCCACTCATCCCGTAGGCCTAGTCACCACGTGGTGTCTCATCGCACTGCCTCACTCACCCATACCCACCTCTTTTTTTGTACTCTTATAATGGGTTCTAGCACCTTATTTTAAGGACCACATAGGGGGTCAAGATGAAAGATTGTTCCTTCGACCCTGTGTGCCTACGTAAAAGCCTCCTGTGTGAGTCCATCATCAATTTAAGTGCAAAAACTTCAAGAATTCGCCAGGTGGTGGAGAGTTGCTCCAGCTAGAACCAACCTTCCCTCACCTCATATACTACTCTCATTCTCCACCAACGTCGCTACAGTGATGATATTTTTATAGAGACATTTGCGAGCATTGAGACAATTTTCCAGTGATTTATTAATGACATTCAGTGACTCTTGATTAGACTGTGTTTATTACATTCTGTTTGCAATATTATTTTTTTTCTTCTTTCTTCAGTGTTTAAATATTTGTGCTTTATTTTTATGTCTGTTGTGCTGAGTTCACTTTTTTTATGTACACGTGCAGTAAGTACTTTTCAAAATTTTCCTTGTTGTGTGCAATTTATAAGCAGTATAAACTTGTGTTTGCACTTCATAAACTATCGTGTGTTCACAGTACTGTGTTCCTTGCCTAGTAATTTATGCAGTGAAGTAATTAAGTAAGTTGTTATCTTATATTCTGCATCACAATTCAGTGTTGTCACAGTTATTTTTTTTTCTCCCAGCATTTGTGTCCTTGCTGATTTTTTTTTTTTATTCATTCATTTGCCATTTTTTCTGTGTGTTGAACATTCATGTGTTAATTCTTTTCATTTAGCCAGTGTCTAATTTGCCTTATCTCCACAAACAATAGTGCCATTAATTTTGTTTGAAGCAAGATAATTATTTTCCAATTTTTGTCACCCCAAGCTTCCTTGCAAGAAAATTCTCATAGTATTGCGCATATATTGATGTGTTGTGTTCCTGCCTTATTGTGAGTGTTTACCTTTCTCTGTTTTGTATTTCATTACCCTTTATTAATTTTCATATTTTATTGAACAAATTCACTCTTAGTGCAATTTTTAACTTTTTAAAAGTAAATCATTCTTTTGCTTGTTCAGTAAGTGTTGCTTAAGCTGCAATTAAGAGTTAAAGTGTTCAATCAATTCATTCCTTCATAATTTTTAATTGTTTTTGTAAACTGCATTTTCTTGTGTATGCAATTTTTTTATTATTGAGTATTGACTCATTTACAATGATTCTTGTGTAAATATTGTGCTGCCATTAATTTTTTTTCTTTCACAAATTTTTTTATGTAGTGTTGTGTTGTGTAGTTCCTTTGATTATAAATTTTTATTTGCAATATTGCTACAGTTTATTTCAGTGCAATATTCTGTGATTTCAGTTTTATATTTTTTGTTCTGTGCTTAATATTTTATTCTTTGTGTCATTTTATTTCATTTTTAGTGAATTGCTTTCCCAGTCCATTTTAATTTTGCACAAGGTTTATCGATTCCATTTTATCATTTTTGTTTGATTTATCATTTATTGTTGAATTTCTTTATTGAATTGAGAGTAAAGACAACTCACTGTGCCATTAATTCAATTTAAAGTAAATTTGTGAAAATTTGATTTGAGTAAAGTACAATTTCTCTTGATTTTCAAAGTGTTGCTTACCCAGTTGAGTATATTATTTTTATGTGAGTTTTCCTTGCTTACAGTGTGACTTGTCAATTTTTCTTTACTTATGCAGAATAGTTAAGTGTATTCTTCCCATTTAAGTCTACTGTGTTGTGTGTTCCCCAGTTATTTTTTTTTTTTGTTTCTCTAAACTCTTGTTTCATATTTTGCAAGCATCTCTCAAGTCTTCTCGAGCGATGCCTTAGCACATTCTGCTAGTCCAAGCAATAATGCCTCAGTCCAAAATTCGAGTAATTCTTTATCAAACGATAGACACACTCAGACTTCAAGCCTTCACAATTTTAGTCGTGACCCTTATGATGCTATGCCGTTGTTCAATGGGAATCTAGACAACCTGGAAGCATGGTTTACAGCTGTTCATACTAGAGCAAATGCCTCAGTAGATGGCCTCCCATCTGAGATTTGTATAATTAGTATCGGAAAGGAAAGTTTAGCTCGTTCGCCAGCCGCCTCGAATGTCTTTAACTTGATACGGAATATAGACTTTCAGGGTCTCACCAAATGGGCATATTATGAGCAGTTAATGCGTAACTATCTTGACCCAGTGAGAGTAACTGATCCATTCATGGTGCTTAAGGAATTAGTGTGCACAGCGCCAAGGCCAGAGGAATCATTAGATGAGTTTGCCCTTTGTTTAAATAACCTCATGACCTCATTCGTTAGGGCCGGTCAACATTTCAAGTACCTAGCAGACGATGATAAACGAGCTCTTGAAGGGTTTGCCAAATTAGAGTTATTAAACAGTTAATGCCACCAACTTCTATGTATGTGTATAATTCCAGTCCTCTAACTGCCTCAATGGGACCACTTGCAGCCCTCATCCATATGCGTGACTTGTGTCCCGTGGGAACCTTCCCCTATTGAAGGCCTACGTCAGCTGCTTCGTCTAATCCCCTACCTCCTCTTGTTTGTGCTACAACCAAAACTCCTGATCAAAATCACTCGCGATCGTCATCCAAAGCTAGTGTCAAGAGTCATCATTCTCGTAGCACTCGTAGTATGTACAGTACACATAGCCAAAGAACCTGCTATAATTGTGGTTACCGTGGCCACATCGGGGTAAATTGTCCTGATAGTTGCTCTAAGAGGTATTGTAATGCTGATGGGTACCAGTCCGATCAGCCTTACTGTACTTATCACAGAATTCATGGTCATGACACATCACAACCTGCAGTACTCTAGATCCCTCCATGGCCATTCCAACCGCAGAGCCAGGAGAGGAAATAGAGGTCGAGGTTCTCAGACTAACCAGAACCAGCCTCATTCCTCCAATTCGGGGAAATCTGAGTGCCCCAGTCAACCCGTCCCATGGTGACAGTAGGTGATAATGAGTTCACCATCCCCGTTCACAATTCCTTTGACACCTTAAACAGTCTCGAGAATGGCAATCTCACTAATGATGTTGCTTCACACGTCTCTGACGTAGATGATTTTGGGGATGAAGTGGAACATGCCTTACCAGGTGAGAAGATGGGTATAACGAACTTATTGTCCCATCACATTCCACTTGAACCTAGTACTCGACCTATCTATATACCTGCGTACAGAATGCCTCATTCCCAAGTTGCTGTCGCAGAAGAATTGATCAATCAGATGCTCGATGATGGAGTTATTGCACCTAGCAATTCACCCTGGAATGCACCCTTGATCCTAGTACCTAAGAAGGACAGTACTTGGTGCCCAGTGATTGACTTTAGGAAGTTAAATGCGAAAACTATTCCAGATCGCTTCCCACTTCCTGTACTTGGTGATCCTTTACGTAACATCAGAGATAACAAAGTCTTTTCGACCCTGGACTTGTTACAAGAGTTTTGGCAAGTCCCTCTTCATGAGGACAGCCAAGAGTTAACAGCATTCTCCACTCCCACAGGTCATTATCATTTTCTCCGTATGACTTTTGTGTTACAATCTTCCCCAATAACGTTCTCAAGGCTCATGATCAATATCTTTAGAGGTCTCGTAGGTAAGGCACTTATGGTGTACTTAGATGACGTAATCGTCATGTCTGAAGACGTGGATACACATTTGAAAAAACTTGATGTAGTGCTTGGTAAGCCAGTTTAAAGATCAAACTCCAATTGTCAATTTTTCAGGTCAGAAATTAAGTTTCTGGGTCACATAGTCACTCCTAGAGGGGTTACGACTGATCAAAGTAAATAACTGCAGTACTAAATTTTCCATCTCCCAAAACTGCTGATGACATAAGATCCTTTGTGGGTCTAGCAGGTTTTTATAGATCTTTCATTGTTAATTTTTCCTCCATAGCAGCTCCTCTAACTGAGTTGCTTAAGAAAGATGCTCCTTTTGTTTGGACCTTCTGTCAAAAACGAGCATTACAAACACTAAAAGAAAAGCTAACATTTGCTCCAATTTTGAAATTTCCAAATTTTTCTAAGCCCTTCTATCTGACAACTGATGCTAGTTCAATTGGCATAGGTGCTGTACTAGCTCAGAAGACTGATGGCAAGTACAACGCAGTTGCATTTGCTAGTCGAGTCCTTACAAAGGCTGAATGTAATTATACAGTAACGAAGCAAGAAGCTTTAGCAATAGTATGGTCTTTAAAGCACTTCCGAGACATTATTTATCAGTACTCTGTTCATGTCTTGACAGACCATGCTCCACTGATACCTTTATTCCAGAATAAACAACCTACTGGAAGGTTAGCCAGATGGACCTTGACTATCCAAGAGTTCAATCCTACCTTTGAACAATTACCTGGCAAGTCAAATGTAATCACAGATACTTTATCACGACATGTTAGTATAGTAACTGCAGACCCTCCATTTACTGCCGAGAATGTAAAGAATGCTCAAAGAACAGATCCCATGTGGTCTGGTGTAATTCGATTCCTGCTCCAGGAAGATCTTATTCTGACTGTGAAGCCACCAGCACCCATTAGTGACTTTGTCATGAGTCAAGAATTACTGTATCGAACAGCCAAGTTGGGTACTCCTAGCAGAAGGGTATACCAGTTAGTAATTCCACATTCACTAGTGAATGTAGCCTTACAGCTAGTTCACGACTCACCAGGTGTTGCACACCCTGGTATGGATCGTTCTGTGAAACAAGCCACGTATGGCAACTGACATTTCCGAGTATGTTAAATGTAGTGTCTGTATGCAGCATAAAGGAAATGTCAATGGTCCTAACCCAATCCAGGTGTATCCAACCACTAGCGAACCGTGGGAAAGAGTTGCGCTTGATTTGTTAACCAATTTTAAATGTTCCCTCCAAGGCAACAAACATCTGTGTGGTATGGTAGACCATTTCAGCAGATATTGTGAGTTAGTTCCTATTGCAGATAAGACCGCAGAGACAGTAGCTAAAGCGTTTAAGGAACGCATTATCTGCAGGCATACAACCCCTAAGTCCCTAGTAACAGATAATGGAGGTGAATTCTATAATGAGATTCTTGAAAATTTGTGTACCTTGTACAAGATCTCTAAATCCACCATTGTTCCTCATCATCCTGCCAGCAATGGGTTAGCAAAACTAACCAATAATAAAGTACTTGATGTTTTGAAAGCCACTATCAACCCCAATAGTGAAACTTGGGATGAAGCACTTAGTATGAGTCGTATTACCTAGTATGATCACTTAGTATGAGTCGTATTACCTAGAATGAGCACTTAGTATGAGTCGTATTACCTAGTATGATCACGTAGTATGAGTCGTATTACCTAGAATGAGCACTTAGTATGAGTCGTATTACCTAGTATGATCACTTAGTATGAGTCGTATTACCTAGAATGAGCACTTAGTATGAGTCGTATTACCTAGTATGATCACTTAGTATGAGTCGTATTACCTAGTATGAGCACTTAGTATGAGTCGTATTACCTAGTATGATCACTTAGTATGAGTCGTATTACCTAGTATGAGCACTTAGTATGAGTCGTATTACCTAGTATGAGCACTTAGTATGAGTCGTATTACCTAGTATGTGCACTTAGTATGAGTCGTATTACCTAATATGAGCACTTAGTATGAGTCGTATTACCTAGTATGAGCACTTAGTATGAGTCGTATTACCTAGTATGATCACTTAGTATGAGTCGTATTACCTAGTATGATCACTAGACCAGTCCAAAAATACATGTCAATTTTAAAGCTTCACAGGAAGGGCGCTTCACATTGTAATTTTCCACTATATGAACAAGTACTGTCTGCCCAAATTTTGACCATTTTATGCATATTTAAGATAAGATAAGATAAGATTTCGTTCGGATTTTTAACCCCGGAGGGTTAGCCACCCAGGATAATCCAAGAAAGTCAGTGCGTCATCGAGGACTGTCTAACTTATTTCCATTGTGGGCCTTAATCTTGTCTCCCAGGATGCGACCCACACCAGTCGACTAACACCCAGGTACCTATTTGCTGCTAGGTGAACAGGACAACAGGTGTAAGGAAACGTGTCGAAATGTTTCCACCCGCCGGGAATCGAACCCGGACACTCCGTGTGTGAAGCGGGAGCTTTAGCCACCAGGCCACCGAGCCACCGATTTTGGACATGATACATAGTTGTACAAGGAATTATAATAGTTGAGTGAACATGCCAGAAGTCCCTTGTATGCAGACCATTATGGCCAGGCTTAAAATTAACTTATAATTGACAAGCAATGATATATTCAGTGGTAAAATTTACAGTAAATAATTTACAATATGAAGTACAACTGAGTATCTGAAACAATGAAATTTGAACATTTTGATATTGAAGTATTATAGTTGTACAAATTTATCTCATTACAATGTATGACGAACAAGATGATCAGTTTGCTATATGTTGTCTTGAAGTTTTAAGATTTAAGTAATTGGGAGAATTATTGGTATTGTTAAATATTGATTGTTGATTATTTAGTCCTGGGTGAGAAAGTGGTTTTTTAGAAGAGTCTTAAATTGATTTTCAGGACTGGTTACTTTAGTATGTTCTGGTAATGAATTCCAGATTTTGGGGCCCTTTATGTGCATAAAGTTTTTACAGTGTGATATGGACACGAGGTACATCAAAAAGAGATCTGTGTCTTGTGTTATGGTCGTGTGTCCTGTTAAGGTTCGTGAGAAGTTTGAGTGGAGGGTTTATGTTTGTGTGTAGTGTTCTATGTATGTAGTAGGCACATGAATAAGTATGATGTTCTTTATGGTGAGCAAATTTCGACTTTCGAATAGAGGTGGAGTATGCTATCGCGAATTGGAATTTATCATTCTTATTGCAGCCTGTCGCTGGGTTATTAGTGATATTAGGTGATGTAACGTTGTTGAGCCCCATGCACAAATTCCATATGTGAGATAAGGGTAGATGAGTGAATGATACAGTGCAAGGAGAGCTTCTTAGAAATTTGTTGTATGTGTGTCTGGAATTTAAGGCTACTGTCAAGGTAGATTCCTAGGAATTTTTCCTCTGTGCGTCTTGTGATGGGTGATCCTTTTAGCGTTATGTTAGGTGGAACATTTGCAGCTCTGTTTCCAAACTGAATGAAATGGGTTTTGCCAGTATTTAGGGTAAGTTTATTCGTCATCATCCAGGTAGATATTTTCTGCAATTCAGCATTGACAGTGTTGGCGAGTATGACTAGGTTTGGGTGAGAGAAGACGTATGTAGTGTCATCTTCAAATAATATGGGTTTGAGTAGCTGTGATGCATTCGGTAGGTCACTGAAGTAGATGAGAAAGAGGAGTGGGCAAAGGACACTTCCTTGTGGGACACCAACTGTGAT